AGGGACAAACTGCTTTTCCCAGGGATTCCCTTGGGAGTGAATCGATAGGGAGAAACTGCTCCTCCCGGGAATGGGATCCCCTTGGGAGCGGCTCCATAGGGACAAACTGCTCCTCTCAGGGCTGGGATTCCCTTGGGAGTGAATCGATAGGGAGAAACTGCTCCTCCTGGGACTGGATCCATAGGGACAAACTACTCCTCCCGGGAATGGGATCCCCTTGGGAGCGGCTCCGTAGGGACAAACTGGGGAGATGGGGGGAAGCCGGGGTGGGATGGGCGTCTGGAGGATGCGGGTGGCTCCTGGGCTCCTCCCCGCGGGTCCCTGTGTCCCCAGCCCCCCGGGGGGCTCCGAACCCCTCCGGGGTCCCTGACGGGCGCCGTTGGGGCCCGGGGGTCCCTGACGGGCGCCATTGGGGTCCGTAACCAGAACCGTTGGGGTCCGGGGGTCCCTGACGGGCGCCGTTGGGCTCCGACCCCCCCGGGGGTCCCTGACGGGCGCCCTTGTCCCCGCAGGAGGGCGCAGGGCCCCGCGCGGCCGCCGGGCGCCCCGCGGCTCCTCACGGCCGAGCAGTACCGGGCGCAGGGCGAGGCGGAGACGCGGCGGGCGCTCGAGGAGCTGCGGCGCCACTGCCGCAGCGCCGGCTTCTCCGCCTGGGCCACCGTCTCCCGCATCCGGGCTCCCAAGAGGTAATTCCCGCTCCCCGGCACCGGCTCCCGGCACCGGCTCCCCACGTGCCGCTCTGTGGCCGCTCCGCAGGTTCGCGGATTTTGTGGGGGGCGCCCCACACCTCACCCCCAACGAGGTCTCTGTGCATGAGCGGGAATACGGCCTGGGCAGCGTCTTCCTCGAGGAGCAGCTCTTTGAGGATGAAGATGATGATGAGGAGGAGGAGGACGAGGAGGAGGAGGAGTTCTCCAGGAGGCATCCCGGGAGTTTCCCCCTGTCCTGCAATCCCATGGACACTGATTGAGGGCGGGTGCCCCGGCTGGGAGGGGCCCCATCCGTGGCCCCCCCCCGGGCGCTTCCCGCCGGGCTCCCATGGGAGCGCCCGAGGGCTCCGGGCGCCCTCGCTTCCGTGGTGCCACTTGAGTGTCACCCGAGCGCCGGGTGCCACCCAGGGCCGGGACTTTGGACCCGGGCGCCCGCGGAGCCGGCGCTCCTGGTGCCGGCGCCGACCAAAGACCGGGGGGGGGCTGCGTGGATCCAACCCCCCCAGGGCTGCTGGCCCCCATGTACCCTCCTGTGCCCCCCTGCACTTGTGGGGGCCGTCCCCCCCGTTTCCCTCCCCACACGTCGTCGGGGGGCAGAGCCATGAGCCCCAATTGCATTTGCTGCCCCCCTGCCCCTGTTGGGGGCTGCCCACGGCCCCCTTTCCCACAAGCAGGGAGGGGACCCCCATCTATGCAACTTGCTCGCCATAAACCTACCCCCCCGCAGCCTTCGCGCCCCCCTCCCCAATCACCTCCTCCTCTTCCTCCTCCTCTGGCTGTCCCTGCGGTGCCAGGGCCAGGGGTCTCTGTGCCCGGCTGCTCCCCCCCGCGGGGCTTTGCGCCCCCTTTGCTCCCCACGCTTTAATGCAGCTCAGAGATGATTATTTTTTTTAATAAAGATGCAATTTGTAGCCGAGGAGGCCTCGAGGGCGGCTCCGGGGGGAGCTGGGGGGCAGCAGTGGCCGCTCGGGGGGTCTCTCCACGTGGGCCGGTGCCCCCCTATCCTGTTCCGTGCAAGGAAGCCCCTAGGTTGCCCAGGCCACGAGCTGGGCCCCCTCCTTGCTGCAATAAATGGGGGGGCGTCTGGCCAAGCGGAGCCCCCCAGCGTGGGCGGCAGCTCCGCATCCCTCGTGGGCACCCACGGGGTCCCCGCGTGCCAGCGGGGCGGCCCTTGCCCAGGGCTGGGCTGTGGGGCCGGGCTGTGGGGCTGGGCCGGGCCGTGGGTCGGGCCGGGCCGTGGGGCTGGGCTGAGCCGTGGGGCTGGGCCGGGCCGTGGGTCGGGCCGAGCCGTGGGGCTGGGCCGAGCCGTGGGTCGGGCCGGGCCGTGGGTCGGGCCGAGCCGTGGGTCGGGCCGGGCCGTGGGGCTGGGCTGAGCCGTGGGGCTGGGCCGAGCCGTGGGTCGGGCCGGCCGTGGGTCGGGCCGGGCCGACGCTCCGGGGCAGCCCCATCCGCAGCCACTCCGGGAGCCGCCGCCGAGCGAGGTGAGTCGCGGAGCTCCCGCTCCCGTTGGACCCCCCGGGCTCTACCCGCGACCCCCCCCAGCGGCAGCCACGACCGGGGGGCGGCGGCCCGGGGAGCGGAGCAGGGCCCGGCGGCCCCGCTCCGTCCCGGCCGCGCCCGCTCGCACCGACCTTTCCCCGGGCGCTGGCGGCCGGGCCCGGGTTTACAGCCCCGCGCCGGGAACGGGGCCAAGGTCCCGAGCAGTGCCGGGCGCCGCGGAGCCACCGCGGGGCAGGGGACAGCGCTGCGGGGACAGTGTCCTGCGGGACAGCCCTGGGGGACAGCGCTGCGGGACAGTGTCCTGGGGGGACAGCGCTGCGGGGACAGCG